TTCCTCCCCTCCCCCGCCCACATACCTCTTTGGAGCACCAGGCACATTTGGGGTGGATTAGCAGACATTCTTCACAAGAGGTGGCACTTCCACGAGTGCATATGTTAAGACCTTCAAAGCAAGATAAAGATGCACCAATTAGTTCCTGGCCATAAACCTTATTAATGAGGCCTTTGAATGGAGTGGGGGGAGGAGTCACTTCCTTTTTTAATAGGGGACTTCAGTAAGGCTGAAGGGTACAGGCCTCAGTGCTAATTGCAGGTTAAGGCTCATGGGCCGAAACTAAACACTGATGGTTTTTTAAGCACCCACCGAGCATGGCACACTTGTGTTAACAACTCCTGTTTCTTCTGCTGGATCCATTTGGATTTCCACTCCCTTCCCTAATAGAGCAGGCTCTCCCTCACTGAGGCAGAACAAGGCTCCTTTACACTTAGTCCAGCCAAAATGACAAAAATAATAATAACAACAACACAGAAAAGGCTAGAAAAAAGAATAGATTGGTCTTCTGCAGGCATAAGAAAAGAAAACCCTAAATCAGGTACTATCGCACTGAATCAGCAATGTACTGAAAGAAGTCAGCCCAGCCCTTAAAAAAAGAATGTAGCCCAGGAATACAATGCTGGATTAAGATCAAGAAAATCCATTAATTCAAAAATCTACTAGCTGGTCAAATAAGAAAAACCGTGTCATCACCTCTGTAGGTAATAAAGACACATTTGATCGAATTCAAAACCCATCTTCGACTTTTAAAAAAATCAGAAACTAGGATTAGAAGGAAATTTTGTTATTGTTGTAAAAGGTACTTATCTCAAACGCGGGCCAGTCCTCCCTCCCATTAATCTGGGGAGGGGTCTCTTGAGGCAGGCTCTACAGTACTGTAAATGTTAAATCCATTGTTCCCTCTCCTCCCCCGACCCCACCCCACACTCCCACCTCCTACCCACCTGTACCCTATTCCACTAGCAGCACAGGTGCCCTTGGTGAAACTTACCCCTTTCTTTTCCTTCCTCTCTGAAACATTAGGACAGACTTGTTTTGACTAAGAGCAGAACTTGTTGGTTTTCTCTGAATGAAAATGACTGTTTGGTCCCCCACAACACTAACAGACTCACTGGTCTCTCCTGGTTGTTGCCTAGAGGCACACTGGATGGATGGAATAAGGAAAACAGAGGGCCACCAGTCCTAGGAAGAAGGACTCAGGCCTTAAGAGGGGAAAAAACGTCAAAAAGATAAAAAAAGGGAGAGTGGAGGAGAAAACATTGGGAGGTGGATGGAGCTTGTTCTCTATCTCCGCTAAACACCATAGCATTTATTGTGAGGCATTTTGAAACTCTAACACTTCTTTATTTGCTCATTTTAATTCCCTGCTTCTCCTTTGTCATTAGCAATAAAAACCCACAGAAACTGGGTGACATAGGAAACTACACTGTATCACCCCAAGGGACTACTAGAGAGATAAGAATGGTAGATGGAATAGAAGGGAGGAAAAACTGACAGGACCTTAGCTGCTGGGGAGAAAGGAAGGGTGGTGGCTTTGAGGATATGAACAAGTTTTCACCAGCTAGAGACCCCCAACCCTAAACCCTGGGCCCCTCATTCCCACCAGCCATCACCCTGTTGGGTGGGATCCCTGCCTCCCACCCACAGAGCTGGGGGACCCAGTGCAGGCATTACCCAGACACCATCTCACTGCCAGGCCTGCAGCAGGACTCTGGGTACAATGCTGGACTCAGAACACATTTTTCAGGAGAAACGAGCTGGGACCAACCACTGGGCCTAACTTCATTTGAGCAGGAAGAGCCTATCCCAGGGCTAAACACTGACCAAGAAAGTCTTAGAATCCAGCTCACCCAGAAGTTGAGCCTTTCTGTCTCCTGCTTTGTAGTTACTTTTAAATAGGCACTTAGGCCTTTAAAAAAGAGAATGCATACATAAAAAGAATTTTAAAAAGCCAGTTCCATTTTCCTGTCAAATCCCCTTACCTGTCAGAAAACATTATCTAAGGAGGAAAAATCAAATCTAGAATGAACGTGACTTTCCTCCCACTCTCCTCAACCTCCTCACATACAAACTCAGCCCTTGTGGTGTATCATTTGTTTTGATGTATAAAATCACTTCCGTAAAAGCATGAAACTACAGAACCTGGGAGCTAAAAATGTTTTAAGATGAGCTAGTCGAGTCACTTCATTTTATAGAAGAAGAGGAAAAGGAAAGTAAGTGAATTTAAACAAGGAGCCCAGTTTACAAGAAAGAGGTCAGAAGGGGTGCTGGCCAGCAAGTGCCCAAATCAGGTGGTGGTCCCCACACCATCCCAGACTCAGGGCCACCTGACCAGTGAGCTCCAGGGGCCTCTGGAGACCTCCAACAGGCCTTCAGTCAGAAAGGAACTTGAGGTTGGATGTCTCATTTACATTTCTGCTCAAATCCACATAAATTCACAAATACCACTTTCTAATTAGCAGAGCCTCTTCACTGAGCTCTGGGGACTTGGGTGGGGGCTCTTGGGCTCAGGGCAATAAGAGCTCTCAGTTCTGGCCCAGATCAAACTGGGCTCTAGTCTTCTGCTTTGCCAACCTAAAAGACCTTGGACATAACACTGAAGAGGCTCAAAGGATGTGGCAGACATCTGGTATAAAAACATACTGAACAACTGTAAAATATTCATCAGACTACATTGCTAACTGTTTCTATTTATTAGTACACATTCATATGCAATAGTAAAGTAGTTTATCATACTCAAAGTACAATAAACTCTAAAACTAGGTTGCTGCTTGGACGAATTCAAATTCAAGAAAACTGGCACTAAGCATGCCAAGCACTGGGGTAGAGGATGCTAGAGATACAGAGATGAATGACCCAGGCCCTCTTCCCTGGGAGGTCACAGCCTGCCAGGTACTAGGTAGCAGATAAGCACGCCAGGGACCAGTGGCATTGGCTATGTGGTGACATGTGTCATAGTGCCAGAGTTACTGCCTTTGGCATCTCTCCTCTCTCCACCTATTAATATTTCAGAGAGTTTGGATTTGGCTAGATGACTCACTCGGCACCAATAGCATTTCGAAAGGAAGGAAGCAATGAATAAAAAGCTAAACGGCTGGAGTTCACAAATGTCACGAGTGTTGTGTCTAGGTCATGGAAATAGGCGTTAGCAGTCCAGATGACCACGAATCTTTTCTTAGTTGCTATTTGCATGGTGACTATTCCCAACTCAACTTCCTGTAGCCCTTAATGACTCTGAAGCTGGGGGTTTACTGCAAACCATAATCTAAAAATATGTTCTCCTTCCGAAACTCATTGACTCACCCATCTTTTCATCAATTGTATGCAGGCACCCACCATGTGTAGCCGATCGCTCTGTCAAGGTGTATGAAATGTTTCTCTCAATCCAACCCTTCCTTCCCCATGTAGTTCAAGCCAGGCCCTCCAAAGATTCCTACAATAGGGCTCAACTTCCTCCATTCTGCCTCTCCCGACTTCTGTCCACCCCACATGTCCAAGGTCAGACAACATCTCCTGAAAGACATATCCAGAAGTTGAAATTTCCCGATCCAAAACATTCAGGTGGGTAATAACAGAAGGGAGAACTGAGCCGAAATGACTCTACTGGCAAGGAGAGAGGAGACATTCATTTGGGATGGTGGGAAAAGCATAGTGGGTATAGAGGGTGTACACCCACTTGAGGAAGCACATGAACAATGAATAAATCATGATATTTGGAACTGTTAATGTCTGTGCCGTCACCTTCATGATACGAGTGCCAAGCCAGGCTAGACAAATACAGTTCTGAATTACATTTTAGTCATTGTTTTTAAGATAACAGAAAATAAAAACATTTCATTATTCTTATTGAAAAGTGAAATAAAGGTGGTAAGGTACTAGAGTGTTTCTTCCCATGAACCACGTTTGCCGGTTGTCACACAATAGGTAAATTATTTCCAGTACAGAATCAGGCAACTAAATAGTCGTTGGTCTAAAGCTGTTACCATGAAATGTAAGTAGGAAGGATCTCAGTCGGGTCACATCTTAGACGGCTTTTCTGAACATCAGACTTCTGCGGAACACCCAACAATGTCAGCTTTACAGATACGACTTTTTTCTTTTTAAATTAAGTTTATCGGGGTGATACTGGTTAATACAATTATATAATTTTCAGGTGTACATTATAGTTTGACATCTGTATATTCTATTGTGTGTTTACCACCCAAAGTCCAGTTTCCTTCAGCTACCATATATTTGATACCTTTACCCACTTCACCCTCCCCCGACCCCCTATATTTGATGACTTGTTTTCTAAAACATCAATTCATATAATGGAATAGCATGCAGCTTTTAAAAAAGAATGTGCACGCTCCCTGTATACTGATACGAAGCGCACCCTGATATACTGCTAAGTTCAAAATAAAAGGCAATGTGCAGAACAGTGTAGTTTAGTGCTATAGTTTAGAACCACCTTACAATAAGAATGGGGGAGGGATATCTGTGATATATTTATAGAAAACACTGTGGACACATAAGAAACTTAACAG